TTCCTTTATCCATCTGTTTCACAACTCGGTCCAGGTTACGAATCCCTTGCCGATCGACCACCTTCTGAAAAGTTGACTTGAAAAAGCCAATCAGCCTCTCAAATTGACCGACCCACCATGGAGCACAGCTGAGGTTAAACCTCCAACTTTGCTAGAGAATCGTTGCATGAATTTCTCATTCCTTTTGACTTTATTTAGCCAGTGCGTGGCTGCCTTGAGCGTGCTTCAGTTGTCTGAGTAAATGTAACGTGGTCAAAGAGTGTTTTGAGGCTGCTCAGGAATTTATCTGTCTGTAGGCTAAACAGGACGTCCAAACACACTCTTCGAGTCAAGTAGCAGGCGTAGGGAGCTAGGTGGGCTTTGCCTTCTTTCTTGGGCTTTGCTCGAAACTCGTACCAGCCCCCTGGCGAGCACGTAATTGTTCTTTGAACTCTTCGTACACCATTGTTTAATCCAAGTCCGTCATGTCATGTGATCCCATCACAATTAATCGGCAGAAATCTTCGCAGTCGCCTTGGCTCGTTTGCGTGAAAAACATGATAATTTTGTCGAATTCTATCCCAGGTGACATCAAGAACCATCCGAACTTGGTTAGTTCCGCGACTGGTGTATTTTCTGGCCCGGTTCATGGCTTAGTTTCCGTTTGATTATCACATCTTCCCCATTGCCGAGTACTAAGTGGACCGGAAGCGACGACTTCGTTTCATCATCGCTGATATGTAAACTTTTCAGATGCGAGTACTTTTCAATAACTAGGGCTGTTAATGGACGACAGTTCCGTCTTGTTTTCTTTGGTAGCTTTGACTGACAGCGAAAATTACTGGTTAACGAACTATAATTCAAGACCGTAGACTTCTAGTCTGGCAACCTGTGAAGACCTTAGCATGTCAATAGTTTTTGTCCGATATCAGCTGGTTTCAGGTGAAATAATTCAATCAATTTGGTTGATACTTATGAGCTCACAGCTCCCAAATCGATGAGTGCTCTTCATTTAATGCCTTTGATCTCTATCATTAGGACAGGAAACACCACTTCCCTGATCTGGTTTGTAGTGAAGGCGACCCCTATCGTAGGCATTGGTTGATTAGTTTCTTGACTAGGTGTATCACAAATGGACGTGTAGTGAAATTTGTGGCATCGTTGACAAGCGGATTTGCTGGGACAATAGCCAACGCAATGGTTTCCTGTGGTGCAGTTGAAACACAGTCATTTATTGATGAGAATAGTTTTGCAACGGCCTTGTCAACTTCGCCGCAGTAAACGCAAGGCCAACAGCGAGGATTTGAATCGGCGCCACGACGCGTGTGGTTAATTTTTGTCTAGCGTGCGTATTGCTTGGCCATCTGCTGTTCTCGTTTACGCTGGTTTGTATCCACCGGATAACAATTACTGTCATACGAAATTAGACTAATTCCGTAAATGTCACATTGTTGGTGTTAAATGTTCAATGGCCTGAGTCATGATTTCTATACTTGATAGCGTTTAAAACTCTAAACACGTCAGGGATAAACTTGAGAACAATGAAAACGACTGGTCAGATAAAGGGCAACCCCCACCAAACAAAATTGAGATAGCAATGTAAATTTTTTTTTCTGTTTATCACAGCTTGGAGAGTTGTTGGAAGGGGTCGAAGAAAAACGCAAAGAAAGGGAAGTTTCCGTCTTCTTGTGCCTTGTTGATGTGCAACAAGTGGGACCACGTTCCAGAGAAAGAAACTAAAGACGTTGAGAACCATGTTATCACACAACCGAGAAGGTTCTACCCTGACATTGTTCCAGACTGAACCAGATTGCCAAATGTCAACCACGAATACCAGCATTGCTCAAAATCACGGGATCACTACAAGAGATTCATTTACTGTAATGGACTGCATGAGATCCACGATTCGGAGGGCATCAAAGCCAGGCATGAAATCTTTATTTGTTCCTACACAAACTGTTATTTTTCAATGCAGGTGAAATCAAACCCGACCAATACGAGGAAAGGCTGATAGTTTCGATAGAAACTGTTTGGGGCTGCGTTGGTGGGAGTAACGAAATAACTTGGATATATCAACAAAGTTGAAGTGGTAAATTGGCCACCGTAACGATTACAAAAGCTGACGTTTCGAGCGTTAGCCCTTCTTTGGAGCGAATAGAGGAATTGTGGGTTGTGTGTGCTTTTGAAGGCAGAGAATGGAGCTACGTTATTGGTGGGAACATGGCAACGAGAAAAACAAGAATAAATTAGTGGAATGAAAAGCGTTCGTTGATCCCTGTGGGATTTAGACTGCCGGTTTGAAAGATGAGCTTTTGTTCAAGATTTTTACGGCTTTCCGTGCTACCTAAGTGTAAGGAAAGACCGCAGATTGCCATATGTTGCTTAGAATGATTAGGTAAATTAAAATGTCTAGCGACTGGTTTCGATGTGTCCTTGTCATTCCTTTCCACGTCTCGAAGGTGTTCTCGGAATCGGTCACCTAGTCTTCTGCCTGTTTCGCCGATGTATATCTTTTTGCAATAAGTGCAAGTTATGCAATAGATTACATTGGCGGAGGTGCACGTGAAGTGATCGGTGATCTTAATGGATCGTTTAGGTCCCGATATTTTATCAGTGTTGTGAATGAAAGGACACGTTTTGCATCGTGCACGAGCGCATTTAAAAGTGCCTGGTTGGTCATTAGTCTGAAAAGAACTTCTGACCAAAAAATTGCCTATGTTTTTGTCGCGTTTGAATGAAATGAGCGGAGGCTGCGAAAAGATAGTGCTTGTCTCTGGATCGTTTTGAAGTAATTTAAAGTTTTTAAGAATGATGGATTTAACTGAGTGGTTGTGAGGGTGAAACGTGAGAGTGAATGGAATGCGGTCGGAATCTTCCTTATGCGACGTTTGTAGTGCTGAATGTCGATCAATAAGTTGGGCGCAGTGGTAACCCGCTTGAACGACAGAAACAGGGTAACCACGTTTATCGAAAAACTGGCACATTGACTCTGATTTGAAGTGGAAATCAGAGTCATCACTGCATAAAGACGAAGCGATTAAAGGGAAATTGGAAAACAGACGCAAAATCTTGAAATATCAAAAAGACAGTGTGCCATTATGAAAGAAGCGTCTGAGGCCGATAAACTGCTATGTAAACAGCTTCTGGAAGAAAAACCTTCAACAAAAGAGATAAAAGAAAGCTATCAGCCAATGATAGATACAGCTCCTGAGATTAAAGGTCGTCTGGCCGTTTTTGGTTTGGAAGTGGGCCCTGCAGCTTGTATTAGTTGCGACAAGTTAGACCTGAAAGGCCAGTCTGACTTTCTAGGTCGAGGTGCTTTTGCCTCTGTTAACAGGGGAGCAATGAAAACTGAGAACGGAGACAAACAAACTGTCGCATTGAAGATTTACACCAAGTCTCTTAGAGCAGAAAATGCCTGCGACATCGTGAATGAGATTGAGCTTTTAAAGTAAGCAATTTAAATTTCACTGAATATTTATCACTTCAGAAGTGTTTGCAAAAAGTTTTGAGGGGTTGAATTTATGATTTGTCTACTGATGATCTGCGTAAACTTGTAAATGATATTCCAGCTTGCATCTTAAAGCTTTCATTTCCATCCATTGCATCTTCCCTTACACATATTTTTAATTTAGTTATTTCTAAAGGAATGATTCCTAAAGACTGGAAGAGTGCTAGAGCAACTCCAATTTTCAAAACTGGCTCGAACGTTTACCCAGCCAACTACAAGCTAATTTCTGTTCTTTCTGTAATTTCCAAACTTTTTAAAAAACCATCTTTAACCAGGTTTATTCATATTTAAATGATGATAGGCTACAGTACTTTCGAAATATCAGTCTGGCTTTAGACCTATAACAACAACGACAACAACAGCATTTATTTAAACACGATAAAAAAATTCAGCAAAAGCTGATGTGGTCGGGTTCAAATAATAAAACTAACTTCCTAACTAAATACAATAAAACTAAATTCCTAACTAATTATATGAAGACTAATGTAAGATTTCTACATATTTACAACAATAAAAATTCTACATAGTACATCATTATAATATACGTGGCTTAAAAATACGCTTGAGTGACTTTTTAAGAGCGTCAACGTCTTGAATTGATCTCATTTAATTTTCCAGAGCGTTCCACCAAGTAATTGACTTGTATGAGCATGATTTCTTGACCATATCGGTCTTAGGTCTAGGTAACTTAAACGTCATTTTCCTCCTGAGGTCGTAACTACTTACATACTTTTCAAAGCGACGGTTCATAGGACATGGTAAAAGATGATAATAAGCCTGATGCGCTAAGATTAGTAGTCGTTTCTCATACATAATCTCTAAGGTATTCCATTTTACTGTGGCAAGAGCCTCCTTGCTTGGAGTACAACAATCCAAGTTAAATATTGTTTTCACCGCTCTAACATGTATAGATTCTAAGGCTGAGAAAAACACTCGACCACAAGAGCCCCAAAATAACATACCATATGTCAGACGGCAGAATAACCTTAAAAGAGAAATCAGTTCTTGCCTGTTTAGGCAGGAAATACAAGGATTTAAGTAAAATCAACTTCTGCGTATATGACTTCACTAATTCTGATACATGATGATCCCATTTAAGAGCATTATCTATCTGAACACCTAGGCATCTTGTAGAAACAACCTCCTCGATAACATAATCACCCATCTTAATAGCTTGTTTTGGCCCAGTAAATTGTCCTATGCATTCTACCCTTACAGCTCTTCTTGACATTATGGACAGCTGGTATCTCAATATCGACAACGGATTGACAAATGCCATTTTGTTTATTGACTTAAAGAAGACTTTTGATACTATTGATCATGACATCCTTCTGTCAAAGTTTGAGCTGTATGGGTTTTAAATTAAAGGTGTTAGTCTCAATCTTTTCCGAGACTACCTCTCAGATAGAATCCAGGTTACGGTTATAAACAATGTAAATTCTGAAGCTTGTTTCGTAAGCTGTGGGGTGCCTCAAGGTTCAATCCTTGGCCCCCTACTTTTTCTTCAATATATTAATGATCTCCCTAAATGTAACCTCTGATCAGACGTGAGAATGTACGCTGATGACACTCATTTCACATTTGTCTCCAAAGACCCTAATGAGTTGTTTTCAACCGACTCATGATTTGGGAAATCTGAAGCAATTGCTCGATTCCGGCTAACCGTCTAAGTCTTAATGTCCTCAAAACTAAATGTCTATTTACAGGTACGAGGCACAAAATCTCTTTACTCCCTAGCGATCCATACATTTCTCTTGATGGGCATTCAATGAGAGAGCAAATAGTTACAAATGCTTAGGCATTCAGGTTGATGAAACACTCTCGTGGGAAGCTCACATCTCCGAAGTCATCGGTAAAGTTGCAAAAGTACTAGCTGCCCTGAGAAGGCCAAGACCGATATGTCCCCAGAGTACCCTTGTTACTATTTAAAAATCATTGATTCTTCCTCATCTCGATTATTGCAGTGCTGTTTGAGGCTGTATTGGTAATGGTATTTGCCAAAAATTAGAGAAACTTTAAAACAGGGCTGCACGCATAATTACAGGGTCTAACTGGAATGCCAGATCTGCCCCAAATCTTCACGCCTTTAATTGGAATAGCCTCGCTGACAGACGTGCAAAGCAACTGAAATCTTTAATGTTTAAGACTTAAAATAACCTGGTACCCATTTACTTGTCCGATAAATTCGCTAGCATTAATACTATTCACAGGTATAATGTCAGAGATGCGCAACATAACATCTTTATTCCGCGACCGAACACTGAGGCCCCAAAGAAAAGCTTTAGTTATAGGGGCGCAGTAACATGGAACAGCCTGTCAGCTGAGGCTAAGCAGGCCACAACTTTAAATTGTTTTTATTCCGCTATTGTACATTAAGTTTATTCTACCTAGGATTTTATTATAGGTTAATACATTGTACACTATAGGTTAATACATTGTAAATTATAGGTTAATACACTGTACGTTAAAATTCTTCTAAGTATTTATTAAAGGTTAATTTTTACGTCTTAGTTTCATGTGCGCGCCTCTTTTGAAAACCACTTATTAGTGATAAGGATTCCGTGGCTAAATAAAGATTGATGGATTGATTGATTGATTGTAGATACGAAATGCAACTTTTCTTCTTTTGAAATGCTGCATGGGTATTTCTTTTCAATCTTCTTCGGAGGAATGATAGTTTTGTGCTTTTTCTCATCAGAAAACTAAAGCATCCAAACGTTATCACTTTTCATGGCACGTCGCTTCGAAGGATGATAGTGAAACTCGCGTAATACTAGTCAAGAATACTGCACAGGAAATTTGAAGGATCGCATCGTCAATAATGCAGTAAGAGCTCCTGCTAATTCCAAGAATACTGATGCCAATAGAGAAACGCCTGTTGATGGATAAAACAGATAACTGCGCCCTGACCTTTATTCATGATCAAAAAGTTTTTTACAGAGATTTAAAGCTGGACAATATACTATTATGAAACCAAAAAAAGGTTTAGTGTAATCCTTCAAGTGGCAAGATGTCGTCACTTTGAACTAATGTTTGGCTTACCTGAAGTATATCTGAAGAATTCTCTACCAATGTAGATAAAGAGAAACTTAGCATTCTAAAAACATTGAATTCTATACATTTCTCTTTGCCTTTTTTTCAGATTAACGAAAAAAATGCGTGCCATTGTTAGCACCCGCTTGAGTTGTTTGTAAGATTTTCTTATTGTAAAACAGAATGAAGAGAAAATAATCTGAAAAACCAACAAAAATTTTGAAAACCGGAATGCATTGGATAGCGTTCCTTCTTTCGATACCTTTGGACAAATTAGAACCTCCAAAGTTAGGGACATTTAGGAAATGTTTAACAATAAAATTTACGTGATTGATTTTCTGATGTGAGTGTCTTAGACTACACTGAAATTCTCGAGAAATCACCTTTCGGGTATGCAATCATTGCAAACACGATAGCACTCCGACAGGAGGAAATCTTTGATGAGGAAAAAATTTGATGAAGAAAGAAACTCATGGAAATATGGAAAACCGATACATTCCCCCTAAAGTAATTAAGACTATTGTCACCTAACATACTTTGGCAGTTGTTTCGACCAATTACACTCTGTTCCACTCTTGGGCTGTGTTTCGAAACGTTAAATACATGTAGAACGAAGCACACAGTTGTTTTGCGCTTCCAGGCAATACTTGTGGCTATCAACCGCTCTCGGGACATATCTAGTTATTAACTCTTGCTCCATTGCTTGTAATGATCACTATGTGGTTCCTATATCTAATAACAAGTAAAGGACTACTCAGAAAATAATTGCAATTTTTGAACACCATTTATACGTTGTAATGGCTTTCACGGCTAACTGTTATTCCAGTGCTCTCTTGCGAGAAGGACAACCAGACAATAAGGTGGCGCTTACATTAAAGGAATTCCCCACCATTTCTACAAACTAAGCTCAAAATGTTCCAAATGTACTTCTCAATAGGTCTAGCAAAAAAAAAAAAAAACCCTACGGAGAGATCTGATTATTTCCCGCGACCGCCATCTTAAATGGTGCGAAATGCACTCTAGGTTGATGACGGGGTTCCTCGGTGCACTTGTGGTGAGGTGTCTCATCCTTGTTGATGCTATATTGCTTTCGTCTGAAAGAAACTTTTAGTGATTATTTTAGTGTCAGATCTTCGCCATCAGCTGGTCAGGATCCATTAGAACTATGAAGTGTTCGATCGGCGGTCGACATTTTCAGCATTAAAACCTGACGCTTCTCCATATTCTTCATCTTCTACATTACTTTACTTTCTCTCTTTGCTTGAAGAGTACTCCGGATCCAACCAATGGGGAAGATCTGTGACATATATACTCAGTAAAATTTTCTTCCGACGATAGAAAAATGGCTAACATGTATAGCTTTGGTGTGGTACTTTGGAAGATGCAGGGACAGCCTTTCAAACAGAAATTTTCACCTATTATTCACAATTCCAGCTTCTAGATCAAATAAAAGATGGACATTCAAGTCACATCAAAGGAACTCACCAACTCTTGGGCCTTTGTGGGATGTGCAAAATCGTTGTGGAGACGTGTTGGTTGAGCAACCCAAAGTCAGAACAAAACTTAAGAAAGACAAAATGATCCTAAGATAACTTTTTTCACTTTAATGACACTCAAGTACTTCGCTGCTATCTCGATAACGTGATGTAAGTTAATATTTAGTTGCAATGTCATATATATAGGCCCTTACATCACGTATGCAAAGCGGATTTTTGCGTATAAAAAAAAGAATGGCCTACTCGTCTGATCTTGGAAACGCGTTACACAGCCTGAAAAAACAAACAGGCAAAAAAAAAAAATAATAACACGCCACTGAGAAAAAAAAAAGCTTCCCTTAATTTGAGGTCACCAAAAAATAACCTGGACGTGATTATACAATTTCTTTTCTTTTGTTAAGGCTACGCTTTAGAAGTTCTAATGACTAAGTGAGAATCTGCAAATATTCCTGTAAATATTAATATCGGCCTGTATCCTACAGAAAAGTCGCAACAGCCTTTTCAATTTATCAACTATAAGCTCTCAAGAAGAAGAATTGCCTTTCGTTATCATCTTTCGTAATTAAATTTGGATGATGATCCAATGACTTGTTCTTTTAAGCCTCTGAATATGTACATAAATATCATATTTACAAAGTATTTTGAATGCAAAGCCGAGAAAACACTCCAATTTACGTTTAGTTGGCATAATTCTTTGAGTAACAATTAGCGTGTTATTCACTCAGTCAAGGTCTCTTAAAACTGATCGCTGAGGTAATATATTGAGATGCACCAACAGTTACAGGAGTTCCGGCACGGCCTCTTTATAAAGTTCAATGGCTTCCTTAAGGCAGTGTGAGGCTGATGGGCGTTTCTCTGGTTTTTTGCTCCAGCAACTCTGCATCAACTCTTCCCAGCGGCGTGGGGGCTGATTACAACCTTTCACATGTCCTGGGCGTAGGCCCTTGTCCACCATGGCAAAGAAAGCTACAATTGGTACGTTACGGACTTCACTGAAGGCTTGCAGTCCATACCACATCTCCCAAAAAATTATCCCAAGACTGTACATGTCTGCTTTGCTGTCATACAGTTGAGAATGAAACACTTCTGGCGCCATATAAACAGGTGTTCCCGCCAAAGTTCCTGTGATATGTTCCACAGCCTTGGAAACGCCAACGTCGGTAATCTTCGCTACATTTCCTGCTGACAGCTTTTAAAGTGAAGGAAAAGGAGAAAGATTAATAAAAAGCGTATTACCTTGTGCTATGACACAGTCTTCACTATAGAAAATAATTTGTTAATGGATTCTGTCGGAGGAGAAGTCACTGAATCTCGGGTAAAAGGTATTTTAATTTGCTCTTTTACCATAATTTGATTGACTTAACTGACTAAACCTTACATAAAAAAAGCCTAATATTGGCAGTACTAGTTCTCTTTTTTTTTTCTTTGCGTTTCGTGCACTGAAGACATGTCGAGGAGCTGACTCATAAATATGAACGATCCTCATATGGTCACAAATTTTACGAGCGTCCCTTACACACTATTACCTAGGAGTTCGTTTTCAGTTTCATACCAGTATATTGTCCAACTTGAGATCTCTGTGAACTACTTTTTGATCATGAATAAATGTCAGGGCAGCAGTTATCTGTTTTATCCATCGACAGGGGTCTCTTTTGGCATCAGCATTCTTGGAATTGGCGGGAGCTCTCTCTGGATTTTTAAAGATGCGATCCTTCAAAGTTCCGGTGCAGTATTCCATGACTAGTACTACGCGGGTTTCACCATCATCCTTCAGAAGCGACATGCCATGAAAATTGACCACGTTTGGATGCTTTACTTTTCTGATGAGAAAAAGCACAGAACCATCATTTCTTCAAAGACGATAAGATTGAAAAGAAATACCCATGCAAACTTTCAAAAGCAGAAAAGCTGCATTTCGTATCTACAGCTGGAGTCCCAAAGTCACATCTTTATTTCTCTCATTAGTGTGCATATATACATTTTTCCCTTCTTGTACCTATCGTCCACTCCGGACCTGGGAGAGCTGATCTTCCTCCAGAAGAGTAGTACCAGTATCGCAAGAGACAACAAAAGGGCTAGTTACCGATCTTGTTAAGTGACTTAACATCTGCACGTAATGCCACTAGTTGTAGAATGTAAAGTATCCTATCACAATTTTTCGCCACTATGTGTTTTGTTAGTTTTCCCCAAAATCCCTCGATAAGAAGGGCAGCGTGCAAATCATAAATTCAACTCCTAATAACTTTATACTAACATGCCTGAAATAATAAATAATCTGTGAAATTTAAATTACTTACTTTAAAAGCTCAATTTCATTCACAATGTCGCAAGCATTTTCTGCTCCTAGCGACTTGGTGTAAATCTTCAATGCCACAGTTTGTTTGTCTCCGTTCTCAGTTTTCATCATTCCTTTGTACACAGAGGCAAAAGCACCCCGACCCAGAAACTCAGACTGGCCTTTTAGGTCTTACGTATCGCCTCTGATACCAGCTGAAAGGCCCTCTTCCAACCCAAAAACGGCCAGACGACCTCTGATCTCAGAAGCAATATCTAAAATTGGTTCATAGATTTCTTTTATCTCGTTTGCAGGACGTTTTTCTTTCAGAAGTTGTTTACATAGTAGTTTATCGGCCTCGATCAGCTCTGGAATGCGGGCTTCAATTTGCTTAAGACATATGGTGGCATCTTTCAGTTGCTCCTTCACGAATGTAATAAGCACATCACCGTTTGTGAGATCATTCAAGTAATCTGCAGACGCTTCTTTCATAAAAGCACATTTGTCTTTTTCGTATTTCAAGATATTGCTTCTGTTTTCCAATTTGCTCCTTATCGCCATCACGCCAACCACAGGTGCACTGATCACCAATGCAACGAGGCTTAGCGGAAACCAGATAGGGCTTGTGATACCGATGGCAACCTTCTCTGCCGTGGTAAATGTGAGGCCTGCATCAACAGGATGATCAACTTCTGTCACCAAATCGTCGGACACTACAGCTCCCTGTAAATTACGGAGTTCTCCCTCAAGAAAATTGTACCGCTCCCGGAAGTGTTGTACAAGGGAGTCACGAGTACATGCAAAAACGTGGTTGTCTTCTTCCCAATGCTCTATGATCTCTTGCAAGCGGCTTTGCATTACTTTTGTGATGATGCATTTTGTCACCTCCCAGGATGTTTCTGCCTTTGGTACGTCATCCAAGGACCATGAAGTAAAGTGCGATCTCACCTCATCGGACCGAAGATAAACGGATAGACTGTCTACCGCGTCAGATGTGCGACACTCCAAATAATTGTGCAGATGTTCCATAACCTCATTTTGTTTTGTGTCTATTCGCGTCAAACGAAGCAGAATAAATGCCATCACTTTCGTGACTTTTTCTTGATTTCTTAAAGCATTCTTCACATGGGCCGTGGCGTTATAAACTATTTGGGACAAAAGGCCATATAGCCATCTAAAGGAAGTAAATGTACATCACAGTTGATCTAAGTGGCTTTGGTCATTCCCAACTTCACAATTTGCATACTCTCGCAGCTTTGGCACCTGAAAATTGACTCACACTCGGTTCTTATGACTTCGAATAAACATCTGTTATGTCAGTAACAGATTTACACAGTAGTTTAACAAGAAATTCTTCAATTGAGTAATACATAAGTGATTCATTTGTCCAAATCAACTCACGAGTGCTTTTATTCATGGGTACTTCTAATAGTAATTGAATTGAGAGGAGTGCAACATAGTCTGAAATCATTCGCGTAATTTCAAAATCAAACGAGCACGCACCGTGAGTTTGATTTGAAATCACAAGTATGATTTCAAACCAAAATTATACGACACAAACCTCAACAACCACTTTATTAAATTTGTTTTGAAGTAGCAAAATTCAATCACTCAACACAAGTTTTTTCTTACCTTGTATTAATATTTTATAGTTTCAGTTTTCCATGCGATTTGATTGACTTCTTTCAAGAAAGCCTTTGAATTTGATTGGTTGTTGAGTTTTAGTAAAAGCTGTCTCATCAGCTGAGAAAAAGATTTGATTTAGAACATAAAATGGTGTGATCTGTGAATAAATTGCCAATCAGACTCCAGTGATCAAGAGTGATTTCGAAATGGATGTAGTGAAGTTCTACCTAATTACTTCAATCAAATATGTAAGATTTTACGGTCCCGTTGCCAAATGATTATCATTTAGCTTTCCTCGTATTATTATATATATATATATATGTGTGTGTGTGTGTGTGTGTGTGTGTGTGTGTGTATGGGAACAATTCAAAACTCTCACCTCCAATAGATTTCAAGCCTGGCTTTGATGCCCCTCAGAATCATGGATCTCATGCAGTCCATTAGAGCGACGAAATCTTTTGTTATGATGCCGTGGTTTTGAGCGATGCTGGCTTTTTTCGTTGACATTTGGACAATCTGCTTTTCTGGAACAATGTCAGGGTAGAACTTTCTCAGTTGTCTGATAACATGGTTCTCAACGTCTTTAGCTTCTTTCCCTGGAATTTGGTCCCACTTGTTGCACACGAACAAGGCACAGGTAGACGGAAACTCCCCTTCCCTGCGTTTTTCTTTGACGCCTTCCAACAACTTTCCAAGCTGTGATAAACAAATAAAAATTTACATAGCTATCTCAATAAGGAAACTATTTTTTTGTGGGTGTGTCGATTTGTGTGAGGAGAACTAACTCGTGATACGATCACCAGAAAAAAAATTACTGGAGAGCACGCTTACAACCAAGATAGCTGACTCGGACTAGTGCGCCGTACGACACTAGACCACGTGACAGGCGCTGATTCTCGTGCAGAAATAAATCAATCAATCAACCAAATCGTGCCATAATGTGGCTACACACTTTGTGTAAGCCACACAAAAATGGATCGGAAGGGTCCAAAACACGCCTGGAAGGTGGTTGTCCCCTCCGTATTACAAAAACAAACTTACGCAACTCTGGCAACTTTGCGAGCCACAAAGCGATGCATTCCTGCTTTCAAAATTTATAGCGGCCAAGAAGTAAAATTTGGAGTACTAAACTACAAGAATAACGCTTTAAGAGGATACATATTATGTATTACAATTATTCACATTCGTACATGGCAGGCGAAATAAATTAGGATTCAGTGAAAGTTTCATGAACCAACTCTTGGTCCATATAATAAAGTGAGCAGATGAAAAGATTTTTTCATTTTTTATTTGATTCGCCATCTTATTGTGATACAAAATGAGTTTAAAGAGATTTGTTACAATATGGCAGGAAAGCCCAAAGAAACCATAGGGCTTATGCAACGTGGGCTTTCCATGATAAGTAACGATGAGTAAACTAGATATTAGATCAACTGAACATCAGCAGCAGAGTATAGATAAAACAAAAAGAAAAAAGAGAAAGAGGAAGGGAGTAGAGGGGAAGGAGCAAGTTAAGAGAGAAGTAATTTCTTTAGATTTTTCTAAAATGTAGATACACTCACTGAACTTTAAACGTCTGGACTAAGCGAATTAAAAACAAAGGGCCTTGGTATTGAAACGAGAAACATCTTATATTAGTTCTACACTTAGGAACATAAAAGGAACTGGCATTCCTAGTATCATAATTATGAACCTGATTCCTTCGTAGAAATGTGTTATTAAATATATCTGGTAACAACCCGATTTATATAGAAACATAATTTTTCCTATTTCTGCTAGATACATATCATTTAGCAGTAAGGTACAAAAAGTCTTAAATATTGGTTCTGTATGAGAGCCATAACAAGATTTGCTGATGATTCTCATAGCTCGCTTTTGCAGCAATACAAGACGTTTCAAATTAGTAGGGTAGGTTGACCCCCGAACACTTTTGCAATATTGCAAATACGGTTGGACAAGGGAGAAACAAAGTGTACGCAAGGCAGATTTGTAGTGGCTAAAGCTCGACTATAACACCTAGAGACCTGGAGACTTTGGAAGCTAGGTAAGCAATATGCTATTTCCATGAGAGATGCTCGTCCAAAATCACTCCTAGATAAACAGTTTCACTTCCCTAAGCTAATGTATGATCACACAGTTTTACTGTTAAATGATCGAGCGTTTGCCTCTTTTGTCTTGGCTTAAATAATATATATTTAGTTTTCTCAATATTAATCGAACGCCTATTAGCTTGAAACCGAGAAGTTAACTTAATCAATTGAAAATTCACTTTCTGAATTAGGAAATTGAGGTTTTTATGGCGAAGGAAAACGTTAGTATCATCCGCGAATAAAATGAATTCGAATTCTTTTGATACGTCGCAAATATCATTAACATAAATAAAAAACAACAGAGGTCCAAGGATGGAGCCCTGTGGGACACCACAATCAACACATCAGGTAGCTAAACAATGGCCGTTGTATCGAACATATTGTTTTCTGATACAATGAATATATGAAGTTCATATATTTTTGAACTGCGGTAATAAATACGTATGATGCACGATCCTTCGTGCATCATACGTAGGATCGTGCACGATCCTTCGTGCATCATACGAAGGATCGTGCATCATACGTATTCATTACCGCAGTTCAAAAATATATGAAATTCATATATTCATTGTATCTGACTTATCATCACGGGTTTATTACGAATCGACTTAACGGCCTGCTCCCAGTTGGC